ACATTATAATATGAGGTGTTTGTATAATATAAAATCCAAGCCCGTACCTACGAATAATTATTATAATAATACGATTACGACGATATAATATAGGTAATATGTATATGCATATATAACTAAACCTCGTGTTTCTGTGTGCGTTTAAATTCGATATTTCACGCGGTATATTATAATACGTTATACTTATAATATAGGTACTACATATTATAATGTACAAAAGGTGAAAATTAATCAGCGTTGAAATCATAATCGCATAATACTACATCGTTCGCAATAATTATATATGGCTATTAATATTCTTTTAAACGTTTGGAATCGGAACAGCCCACTCATAACGACGACTTAATAACGTCCCGTGTTTTGAATTATAATCATAAAATATACAGCATAATAGTTACGATTTTTTTAATTACCCGACGCGATCAAAATACGTGTTGGCAGACCCGAATAGTAATACAGGTAACATAMTATATTATTACTTATGAGCCCCATATAGCCCCATGGGTGTAAACATAATATTATAATAGACGCGCACATGAATTATTTACCAAAGCCCAGTTTTCATTGTTATTTATTCTTTTATGTTTTTGGTTCACAAGCGGYGAAGTCTATCGATTTGTAGACATTGTATAGAACTAGAAGCGTGTCGATAAATAGTTTCGGCGATGCGGTCGTTTGCGTTAACCAAAAGTTCGATGAACAAGAAGAACTAGTCAGACGACGAGTCTTTTGTCAATGAGCTTACTATAAACACGATTAATTTAAAAATGACCTATACCTACACTATAAGTCTAGGGCGTCGTTGTAATAAACGGTTATCGCGGGACGCGTTCATCAAACAGTTGGTTTAGTTATACTTAACATTAATATATCCATATACCTAAAATGTTATATTATATACTATAATATAATGTAATTTATTTTACTTTCATATTTTTATACAATTTCTTATTTTTTGAGATCTCGATGAGTTTATATATAATAATATTATAATTTTAATGTGATCAGTCTTAAAAACAATATAATAGTTGACCTGCTTCAATTAACGCCTACGGTTTAATTAGATATAGTTATTTTATTTTTTCACCAGCTTTAATTCAAACTCTTAAACTAAGTAGGTACGTAACTTAACAATAAATTGTGATTGAGATAATTTGTTATCGATTAAAAATGTATACAATTATGGTTCCTTAAAATCTAAGTGAATACAATATATTTGGTCCGTTATTATTTAGAAGTAAGTATATAATATAATTTATGTACGAACGTGTAGATACATACGAAAATATAGTAATTCTGATAAAGACGCGTGTTTATTAAAATACAAATATTTAGTGGCAAATACACCAAATGTACAAAATATGTAGGTACCTAGTAAATATTGTTTATGTATTAATTCATTAGAGATTTTTATATCACACGAATATGCAGTGCCAATCAAAATTTATTAAAATAGAATAAATAAATATTTTTATATATTTTTTTTTTTCCAGTAGTAAATTCAATTTAATAAAACAATCACACCAACACTTAAAATATCGAATCAAGCAAAAATATTTTATAATTTTAAAGATTTAATATTTTTCTTTTTCAAAACTTAATGCAATCGAATTTTTAAAACATATTTGACTAAGTATTTAAATTTGTATTACAACAATGATCTATTCAATATACATTTAAAAAAAAAATCATTGAATAGATATTTAATTGAATTGAAGAGTATGAATTGAGTTTAGTAACATTTAACCCTTATAGTGTCCTTTAACTATGTAAAATAAACCATCAAACCRTTAAGTTAAATARCAAATGGTACGATAAATCATATAAATTATAATTAAAAATAAATGTTATTCCATTAACAATACTCAGAAACAATGTTTAGAATTATTATGATCAAAAATCACGTTGCAATCATTTAGAATATTAATCATTTACAAAAATTTAAAGCTCGAGATTTATAATTTAATTAATAAATTAGAACTATTACAACTATGTATGTTTCGTCAAAGATGCCTTTGGGATTTAGCTCATTAAATCACAGCCAGTTAATCAAAACTGAAATCATTTGGRAATATTTTTGGTTATGTTTTGTGTTAATAGCTACAATTAAAATATACTGACTAGGAACACAATATAATAATTAGCAGTAAACAGACTTGTGTAATATTGGTGATTGGGCAATAAATTAGGGTGTAAATTACTGTTAAAGGCCAAATGAAAGTTAATAGAAGCCACGGACGAAACGAATTAAACAATTTGCAAATTTAATCGTTCTTAATTACCATTAGGTATTGCTCTAAAACAAACAATTCATTTTAATATACATTTTCAAATAATTGTATTAGTACTAATTAGTAATTATATGTTATAAATTGTGTACAAAGATTATAATATGCATGCGCATAAAATAATATTTAACTTGATGGTATTTTGTTATTATTATAATTGAAAACGTTTCATCCGTAATAACCGATTAAGGCCAGCAAAATCTTGACGAAAAGATAATTATTTTTAAGACAAAAACCTAAACGAATTGAGAGAGGTAATTAAAATTTTAATAAAAGTACGAGCGGTTTATTTTAACAATATAGACATACTACATTACACAAGCAAAAAGTTAATTAAATKTTAATAATAATAATATATTATAGCACGCTAAATACTAATTTTGATTACCGTTGGACCATCATTAATTGTTGTACCGAAAATATGTCCAGAAACAAGATATAGTAATGTTTAGTGTAAGGAGGTTCAAATTATTCCTATCGAAGTGGTTAAAATAAACAATATTAACAAGATAAATTATAAAACGATTCTAGTTTAAAGTAAAGGGTTTAAGTTTACAGTCAGCCGTTTCTATTAAAATACGAATTAAACTAATAACGTTTTAATCTTTGGTTCTTTTTAATTCTTTTTTTCAGACAGTCAACATTTAAAAATCAACAATAAAAATAAAAATAAAACAACAAAACTACAACCTCAAAAAAATAACAATAAAACTATATGATCACCAACGAACTGTTATACATATTTTAAATAAAATCTTTAAAATCAACAAAAAATAAAAATATAATGTAATAACTACAATAGGATCATCAATTTTTCTAACATAATACACAATATAGATTATTGATAAAACAAAAACATCATTATTGAAAACCAAAATACTAAAAATATAAAATGTAAATTGAAAACAACAACTAAAGAGAAAAATCATGATAAAGGTTTCAAGGTTGTAATAGCAGGTATGTATTATTGGTAACATAATATTTCAAAGCTGTCCAGTTTACGTAAAAAGTGCATATTTTTTACTCTTCCTGCAAAAAAAATTTTAAATAGATAATCCATGTAGCGCATAACACACGTGAATTATTATGGTAGTATAAAAAACTCAATCTTACCTGGTATCTGGTGATGATGACTGAAGGTGGTAGTAACCTTTATGGTGGTGTTGATTACGATCTACGAATATTGAACACTTTTGGCACAGTGCATGTCCAGCTCCATTGCTGCTTCCCCCTCAGATTCGGATATAGGAACAAGATGTTTTAAGTGTAGAGTAGTGACTCCTTCGACGGCCATTGCGTCAAGCTTTCGGTTTCTAACCAACCGGACCATTAACTGAGGAACGCAGTTACCACCGTTGTTTTCGTCATCGCCACCGCCGCAGTCTTTGTCGCCGCCAACATCTTTGTCGCAACCGCCAATCTCAAACCCACAACTACTTACGTAGCTGGTATAGTTATTGTCCTGACCGTTTCGTCGAATAACAATTTTTGGTAATTTCCTGGAGAATTCATACGGACGGTTATCGTTTGTACCATGATCGCTGTCGTCATGGCGTTGATTATGTTGATGGTCATCGACGATACTATCGTTTTCCGCCGGACTGGTCGCCCTCTGCAGAACTAATCGTCGGACAACCAACATCGATTTCGGAGAAGTCATAGATCGGCAAGCCGCAATCTGCCATTCACCTGGTGTTCGGCTCAGTCTCACTTCTACTTTAGCTGGACCCAGCTCGATTTTTGTATCCTTGGTCTTATTCCGGACTGCATTCATGTTAAATATTCGTCTCCAGGGTAACTGCACCTTGATCTTGTACATCGGGTTCGTTGACACTTTGACGGCCGCAATGACGGGTTTGATAGTGTCATCAATGCGGCCAACAATTACTACTGCTTCCTTGTTGGYCACCAATAGCCGTTTCCGTCGCCTCCGTTTCGCTTCATTCATCCTGCGAGCAAGTAACCGGCTGTTGAACTTGTCTCTGACGTTGGCTCGAACTTTCACCAGTTTTGATATAGTTTTGTGCAGAACGCTTTTGTACTCGTCCTCCAGTGATTTATCCCAATACACTTCGCCACCACAATGTTCGGGTGTGTCATCTTCCGATTGAAAATCGGAAAATGGCGATGGGATTGGCGTTTGGAGGGTTCCGTTGTAGTCACCACCGTCCATTGCGTCATCTTCGACGCCGACAGAGATATTTAAAGCTTCAGTATCCCGTTTTCCATACGTCTGATCAAGAAAAGAAACGAATTTGTGGTGATTTTTTATTTCTTCATCCAGATTTAAAACTTCTTGTTCAGAATTAACTGGAAAACTAGTTGTCGGTAGGACAGACATCGTTTCGGTCGACTTTATTAGATTTTCATCATTCGATTCGACGATTGATTCTTTTCTGTATATTTTTTGCAATGGTTTATATTGTTTAWAGTAAGCGTTTCGTTTTTTAAATATATRTTGAGTCATAATCTTTTCATCMTTTACAACTTTCATTTTTTTGTAAGGCACCGTCGATTCTTCGTCAAATATATTTCTTTTTACCATATTTCTACTTTTACATTTCAATATAAACTTAACTCTTGGTAATTKTATGTCATCCGCAACGCTTATGGAATCAGTTTCCTTCGTACAAGAATCGTGATTCGTTTCATGAATATTGTGTTCAGATACCGCCGAATTGTTTATATTGTATGGCTCTACATGCATTTTTTGACATATTAATTCATTACTATTCAAGACACTACCAACAGAATCAATTGAATCTTCATCTTTAACAGATTTATTCAAATTTGGACAACTTTCATATCTTAAGCAGTTTAATAAATTAGGTCTTGATACAGTCAAATCTACTGCTTCGTTAATCTCACTTGAATTATTCTTAAATTTTATTTTACCTTGATTTGTTAAACTAGGTACAAATGTAGTAAAATCTTTGGCTTTATCAGTTTCATTTGAATTCTGTTGAAGTTCTGATTCATCTTGATTTATTGAACTAGGTCCAAAACTAATTGAATATTTAATGTCATTAATTTCATTTAAATTCCGATGGTATTTTAATTCACCTTGGTTAATTGAACTAGCACTAGATCTAGTAAAATCTTTGGCCTTATCAGTTTCATTTGAATTCTGTTGAAATTCGTATTGATTTATTGAACAAGATCCAGAACATTTCAAATCATCAGATTCGTAAATTGCAGTTGAATTCTGTGGACATTTTAATTCGTTTTGATTTATTGAACCCGGTCCAGAACTAATCGAATCGTCAACCTCACTAATTTCATTAACATTTTGATGGTATTTTAATTCATCTTGGTTTATTAAATTAGGTATAGATCTAGTCAAATCTTCAGCCTTATCAGTTTCTTTTGAATTAGGTTGACATTCTAAATCGTCTTGATTTATTGAACAAGATCCAGAACTATTCAAATCATCAGATTCGTACATTGAATTTGAATTCTGTTGAAGTTCTAATTCGTCTTGATTTATTGAACTAATCATATCTTCATTTTCACTAACTTTTTTATAATATTTTAATTCACTTTGGTTTATTAAATTAGGTCTAGATCTAGTCAAATCTTCAGACTCGTAAATTTCATTTGCGTTTTGTTGAAATTCTAATTCGTCTTGATTTATTGAACAAGATCCAGAACATTTTAAATCATCAGATTCGTAAATTGCAGTTGAATTCTGTGAACATTTAAATTCGTTTTGATTTATGGAACCAGGTCCAGAACTAGACGAATCGTCAACCTCACTTATTTCATTATCAGTTTGATGGTATTTTAATTCATCGTGATTTATTAAATTAGGTCTAGATCTAGTCAAATCTTCAGCCTCATTAATTTCATTTAAATGTTTATCGTATTTTAATTCATCATGTTTTAATGAACTATTTGAGTCTTCAATCTCGACCTTTTCATCGGAATACTGTTGAAATTTTAATTCATCGTGGTTTATTAAACTAGATTCGCAATTCATTGAGTGTTCAATATCGTGAATTACTTTTAAATTCTGCTGGGGTGTTGTTTCGTCATGGCTTATTGAAATAAATTTAGGATCAATTGAATTTTCAGAAATTAACTTTTCCATTCGTCGTTTATCGTTATTTAATAAGCTCGATCCAGAGCTAGTTAGATCTACGGCCTCAACAGTTTCAATCAAATGTTGTTGGGATATTGATACGCCATGATTTAACAGATTTGGTCCA